AACTTCGTATCGTTTTCGATTAATGATTTTATGTTTCTTAACCATGTGACTGTTTTACTGTTGATTCTAGATATTAAAACTTCGCATCATTTCGATTAATGATTTTAGGTTTCTTAACCATGTGACTGTTTTACTGTTGATTCTAGATATTAAAAATTCGCATCGTTTTGATTAATGATTTTAGGTTTCTTAACCATGTGACTGTTTTACTGTTGATTCTAGATATTAAAACTTCGTATCGTTTTCGATTAATGATTTTAGGTTTTTACTTCTTTTACGTCTAACCAAACTACCTCTTTTTTTTTCCTTCCGTGTTTTAAGACAACAAGTTTGATACGTTGGGGAACAAAAGCTTGCGGTCGTCTTCTGATTCCAATACTGAATCTCATCGTGACGTCACAGTAGGCAGGTGCAAGGAGAAAGCGTGTGGTTCATCACAGAAATATTTCTCTAAAGAAGAAAAGTCAACAGGATCTTCTTCTGACGTCCGTTTCACAGAAGTTGCAAAATGTATGGTTGAAGTGATTGAAGACTTGCAGAAGCAGTCAATCGACGCACAGAGAAATATCGATACATCTAGTGGATCAGTCGGAGCGCCTGTGACTACCTCGTTAACAGAAAAAGATAGAGGAGTGAACAAGTCTAAGTTGCTTTCCTCCGCGTTGCTAAGTAGTTCGGGAGAAACTAATAGTGAAATGTACAGTACTGCGTCAGATTATCATGTTTATGAGGAGATAATGTACGATTGCATCACCGAATCTCCATCTATTGAACACGAGGTGCCGCCACCGCTTCCAGCGCGCCCTAGTAGCTTGAATGTGAAAGAGCCAAATCTAGCGTTAGAGTTAAACAATACGGCTTGTAAAGATGATCCTGAACTGCACGGTATTCTGAAAAATTCCGTTAACAATTATCCTAAACAACGTCATAATCTCTACTCCATATTTTCAGATCGTACCGACCGCCGAACAATCTCGCATTCTCTAGAACATGAATGGAAAAGTTCACACGCATGCCTCAAGAGGACAGAAAAAGATGAATATGGTTTTGACTACTCTTCAGCAGTTTAACTACAAATAACAACTTCTTACTACACCTGTTTAGAAAAAGTTTCTGTATTATTAAAAAAAACACTAGAATTTACTATCTGGGTATTGGTTATGTTGTAAAGAAGAAGTGAAGGTTCGTATCAATTTTCTATTTTCTAATACAAATAGTTTTTTTTAAACGTAGAAAGAAGTTATATGTTCTCTTAAGAACCTCAGCAAAAAATGTAGCTTCAACTTTCATCCTAAATGCCCCCCTAGTGGCACAGCGGTGTGTCTGCGGATTTACAACGCTAGAAACCGGGTTTCGATACCCCCAGTGGGCAGGGCACAGATAGCCCATTGTATAGCTTTGTGATTAACTTCAAAACAAACAAACAAACAAATAAATCATTCTAAATATCATTTAGGCTTAACTCACGAATTCTCATTCAAAATTATACACTTCAACGGTGCAAAAATTGTATGTTGTTTATATGTATAGGAGAGGTTTTAGTTTTGTTCATCTTGTCTGTTACATCTTTCTTATTGTTAAAGTTCAATATATTTAGTTCTGTGCACGTGTACTTGGACCTATTGCTACCAGCTTTCAACTTTACCCTCACTTCCTAATGGTTAGAAAGACCAATACAACAAAAAGGTCAATAACTTAGATTGTTAAATATAGGCGTTGAAAAAAAAAAAGAGGAATCAGGCTTCCATTTCAAATACAAGGAGCAATAGGCACATCGCCTACCCCCCTCCTCAAAATACAACAACACACAAAACATAACAACAAAAATCTTGAGATTTATGATTTCCTCAACCTGAATTGAATTTTTGGTCCAAAATTAATATTAAAATTAATTTGGGAGCTGCATAGAAAGAACGAAAACATGAGATTAAAAGTTGGCTATTTTTAACTGCTTGTTTTCACACTAATTTCGCCTTGCATTTTATTCTTTGATTTCCATCAGATGTTAGCCTCTACTGTCTTAAAACAAGTCCAGTCCAAATTGCCACTTCATTGTAAATTTCGTTTGTATTTTATTCTTTGATTTCCATCACACCGACGCCTCCGTAAATTCCGTCTGAAACCTCCGGATGTCAAGTAATACACGTCAGTTATGACGGGTTAACATTGGTTCAACCTATTACGTGTCATACAAATTTAGAACCTATAGTCAACCATTTGGCACTTCGCTGCGTTATTGCCAGTTTTACGTTTTTGATAGAATATGAGACGACAAAAAAATATCTTTTATTGGTCAACTTAGCTTGGTTTTACGAGGCAGCTACCTCATTTTGTGTATTTTCTGCTCTTCCACTGACATTCTATCAATGAGATCATCCAACACTTGTTTACTGGTGACATCAGAGAAGACAAGTTAAGAACATTATCAGGTTATTTCAGAGTGGCACTACGCATGGTTATTTTGCCATGAAATTTAACATAATTGTGTATACTAATTGGTCTCGCTGTTGCCATTTTTTTCGAATAAAACTTTTGGAGATTATTTTTTTTTAAGTTTATGTTCACCAAGAAATCCGGAATTGGTATTTTTAACAGTATTCTATTTGTCTGTAAAGTCTGCGTTACTATAAGTATTATATTATTAAGTAAACGTATGTCATACCTCCGATTTTCACCATAGAAACCCGAAATACGATTTCAAAAGATCGAACGGTTAAATCGAACGAATATTTTATGCACGGCTTTGAACACACGTTTTAAAACTACAACAGTTAAAAGTTTTACAGTTAGCGTGTTTTCCTATGCTCGTTTCAGTTTTAACGTTTTGTGTAAATCTTTTCAACTGTCTACCTTCATTGAAATAGATTAACAATAACACAACTCCCAAGTAAATCTGAAATGTTTACACAGTTTGAATCTACTCTGCTGTTGTAGATCTGACAAGGTCCAGCGTATGTTACGTCTCGTTTGTTAATCTTATGCGTCTGGCATAGAAAAAATACTAGTTACCTCTAGCATCTAAAGAAAGTTTAGTGCTCAGAAGTAACAGATAAAGAAGAGGGCTAAGTCAAACCCTAAATTTAAAAATATTCACATTTGAGAACGTAAATTTCCTAGAAATGTGTTTTTATGGCTCTCGTATAGCAAGTCAAAAGAGATTTCATGATGACGTGTATGAATAATCTTTCTTTCCTTATGATGCTATATCTAGTTGGAAAAAGAATGTTCATTCGAGGATGTGTTTGTAACTTTTAATAATTATTAGATGTTTAGTCATAAGGAAGTTATTGGTGAACTTTTAACACCTCTAATTTTATTTGAAAACACTGAAAATTTTGTATATTCGTCAGGGCAGACTTTCTGTAATTATGGACATTTTTTTATATAATTAGTAGTATTTTTAGTGTTATAAGTACAACTGATATGTATCACGTGGGTACATTCTGAAGTAGAATTTAGCCTAGTGATTCAGAAAATTTTATTCTATATATATATATGAAAATTCTAACTGTTTTAACGAGAAATGATTCGAAAGTTAAAAAAAAAAGTAATTATGATAGAAAGTTTTCAGAACATTATGGAACGTTTCATATTTATTCATACCCGATTTTTTATTAACCCCCACTGAGTTAATTACTTGGCAAATTTAACGTACGAAAAATAATTTCCAATTACCCCTCCTTCCAAAAAACAAACCGTTAAATAAATAGAATTTGTATCAATCGCAGTGCAGCTTAATATTATTTTTGCACAAACTGTGAATAGCCTGACATCTCGTGGGGTGCTTTGAAACTACAATTAGCATATTTTGTAATTTTTAGTATGCATAAATAAATATACAACGTGTATGTTAAACAAGCATATTATAGGAGTTACGAGAATGTCTTTTTCTGTTCCTTTTCTCGTGAATTTTATTCTAATCCGTTTATTTTTGTAAGCCCTACTAGTTCACACGTGGCTAAACTGATGATTGTACTTGTAAAAATGTATATTATGGCTACCTCAGCATAACAGTCTTGTTTGTTCTTATTAAGAAAATGAAAATTGTCATTTCTTGATACTTGATCGTGTGAATAAAACATGTGTAAATGTAATACTTTTGTTCTAGCATTATCTGTTTTCCTTCTTATTGTAAATGTCAGATGAAAAAGCTTTTATATAAAAGTAATCGTTAATAAAGTATTTTTATTCGTTCTCAAAATATCCATATATTATTCTGAGAACCACAGTGACATCTGTAGCCAGTTTTTCGTAGCTTGCCTCTAAGACTTGTTTTACGTAGAGTTTGCTGGATACTAAAGTACAAAAGGAAACTTAACACTGTTGATTACATACGTAGATAAATCTGAGTAGTAAACCTAGGAAGAGTACTTTGATTAGATTGTTTTCAGTATCTGTGACCAAACCCAACAGAAGTTTATTCCAAACGACGATTTTTGTCACGTAAATACAAACACCGGTTGAATGCATGCCTGATATCTGTTATAACATACTTGAACAGATATAGAATTACAGTAACACGAGAAAGTAATACTCACATATTTATTAGCCATGTACAGTTTGTGTAAGATATAACACAATAAATTCTTTTTTTTTATTCACGAAAGCCAGTATATCGTTTCAAGCATTTTCAACTTAGAAACTATTTAGGTATGGTTTGTTTTGAATTTCGTGCTAAGCAACTCGAGGGCTATCTGCACTAGCCGTTTCTAATTTAGTAGTGATAGACTAGAGAGAAGGCATCTAGTCAACACCACCCACCGCCAACTCTTGGGCTACTCTTTTATTACCGAAGGGTAGGATTGACTGTACATTATAACGCCCCCACGGCTGAAAGGATGAGCATGTTCGGTGACGGGGATTCGAGTCGAGCGCACTAACCACCAAACCGATTTGTTTATGATTGGTGAATTTCTTCTTGCTGTGAAGATGGCTCAAGCAGCTACTATATAGAGTTTCAAAACAGCTACCATACCGACTTTCAAAACAGCTCCATACCGAGTTTGAAAACAGCTACCACACCACCGGATTTCAAAACAGCTACCATACCGGATTTGAAAACAGCTATCAACCGAGTTTCAGAACAGTTACCATACTGGGTTTGAAAACAACTACCATACCAGGTTTGAAAACAGCTATCAACCGAGTTTCAAAACAGCTACCACACCGAGTTTCAAAACAGCTACCATACCGAGTTTCAGAACAGTTACCATACTGGGTTTGAAAACAACTACCATACCAGGTTTGAAAACAGCTATCAACCGAGTTTCAAAACAGCTACCATACCGGATTTCAAAACAGCTACCATACCGAGTTTCAAAACAACAACTACATAATGACATTGAAATAACCACAGTGTATTTCACCCAATTTCATTTGTTTGTAACGATGGAATCTGATTTGCAGTTGTCAGTCCAGAGATGTTTTATATCAGTGTGGTGAACCACCCACCATTAAGTTTTTATATCAGTGTGGTGAACCACCCACCGTCTTTATGTCAGTGTGGTGAACAACCCACCATTAAGTCTTTATGTCAGTGTGGTGAACCACCCACCATTAAATCTTTATATCAGTGTGGTGAACCACCCACCATTAAGTCTTTATATCAGTGTAATGAACCACCCACCATTAAGTCTTTATATCAG